AGCTAACTACTCGGATACTTCATGCTTTAGGCATGAACTAACTTTTTTTGGCCATGAATATATTTTCATGCACTGTTCAAAACATTATCATGACACCAATCATTTCTTCATCAATACCTCGTCATTTCATTATCATCATTTATCGCAATATTTGCTTCAGGCAAATTAGCTAGAATTATCAAGATGAGGTTCATTCTCCGATGAGCAAATGCTTTGGTGCGCGGCACGTAGGGATCAATACCCTTCAGACCCAATTGTTAGCAAACCTGCTTCTGGCTAGGATTTTGCCTCGATAGGTTTGGTCGTCCTTGAATATCTTGATCACTTTGTTTCTTATTCTAAGCTCGAAACTCATACCACACCGATTATAATCTCGACTGCAACCCCTTATAAAGTTACTCAACTAGGTAACATTATGTGCTTCAAGCACCTGTGCAAAATCAACCAGACATGCACTTTTGATCCTTCATCAACAACTAGTTATGATTCTTAGCCACAAGGAGTGCTAAAATCAGCTTAGGATACTTCACATAATTTGTTGTCTTGTACTACTGCTGGAGTACAAATTACTCGCATGAAAAGTTGGCAATGTCTTTCCAATTAAATATTTATCTAAAACTTCTTGTTTAGAGTTTCAGTTGCGAGACTATTTTGGGCATAGCTGAATTATATTTAATCATTGACTTACATTATAATCTCAAAATTAAACATGAGATTAAACTAGTCAAAATGTGTCTTGGGGAAGAACATTTGATGACTTTTGGTCGGAATAGTCCTTCATGGACTTCCATTAATTCAAGGGGTTCTTTTTCAATCAGATACTCATTTTTAAGATCGTGGTTCAAGTGGTGACATATGAAAATGAGAGCTTGTGCCTCTTGGGCATCGATGCTCTGTGACTTAGCAAAAAAAACTTGGCTCAATTCTTTGGATGCCAAATAAATTTCAATATCTAGAACCCAACAATTGCTTCCTTCATAAGCGAGTTCAATAAATTCACATTTGACAATGGAAGACGTAATCTACAAAACATATATCATATATTCTTATATACGTTCATAATATCACATGTTTATAGCAAAATAAAGAATTTAACATCTTTTAGATGCAAAACGAATTTTCGGGGATGAAGTCAAAATATAAAATCTAAAAACAAATTGATCTTTCGAATATACACAAATTAAAACCGAAATGGTGCAACACGAATCGGTGAGGCAAACACCAAATTGATGCAACAAGCATCGACTTGTGTTTATAGCATCAACTCGTGCTACAAGCAACAAGGCACGAATCGGTGCGGCAAACACCGAATTGATGCACCAAGCATCAACTCGTGTTTATAGCATCAACTTGTGCTACAGGCAACAAGTGGTGCTTCACTCTCCAATACACCGAATTGATGCTCCCAAGTCATCAATTAAGCTTTAAAGTCTTACTCACTCTTAAGCTTCCACAAAATAAACTTTAACAATCTTAATTAAAAACCATTCATTCATTGCCTAATCAGGCATAAAAACGAATTGCTAATCACATGCAAACGACATATCATAAAAACATAATAATGCACTACAGCATATGGTATATAACATACAAAGTATGCGAAATGAAAATAATATGTATACATATATTGCATCTTCATACGAAAAGTCTCTTCTATTTACACAAACATATATATCACATGCTTTTCTTTCAATTTGAAGAATCAAAAATAAAATTGGAAATATATATAGGAATTTACACAATCATATATATACGAACCAGTATGTGCAATTCATATTTCAAATTTTAGAATCAATATGTATCATATCAATCATGCATTTCATACTCATATCAAGAGGTGTAGAATCAACATGTGCCATATAAAACATGTATTATATAAAAACATGTATTGTAACAGATTCAGGCATATCGTTCACCGAAGATTACGATAGAGACTCGTGCTGATAACGTGTTGTAATTTGGCCTATCAACTTGTTAGTTCTCGCGTGATGATTACACGGTAATTGCCCGGAGATTATATATAAGATTATAAAGTGTAGAGATGTAAGAAGAGAAGAATGACACAAGATGTAGAGCACAAACATGAGCACCTTATTTCATTAAGCCTTCACATGTATTTATACTAATCCATACAACCCTTCATATGCTTAACATAAACAATATATTAAGTAGAAGGAAAATGGAGAGTCTCAAGATTAATGGCCACTAATAAAATATTTATAACAAACATGTCATATTATGTATATTTGTAGTGATTTGTGTATGAAGTGTGAGATGAAAATTTGTAATGCTATTTTTTTTTTTTTTTTGAATGCTACTTTATATACTTAAAATTAAACTGTGACATGTACATCAGTACATATATGGTAAACTTTTAGAGCATATCAGAGAAGTAGTTCTAAATTTGAGAAGTTATTGGCCGGACATGAATCGTAAATTATTAAATAATCATTGAAATTTTTTATGCCGTTTTCTAAATGATGTTCAATTCATTATCAAACACCGTGAAAGTCGCATAAATTTGAAGTTGAATTATGCGATATAAGATTTATAAAAAATTATAGTTTTGATGATCTTATAATAAGAACATAGTCAATTTAGTTCTTCAATTGTATGTGTTATCAAAGTTGCAAAGGAATGCCAAGACCTTATGATCTAATGACACCCGAGTTAGACTTCCATATGAGAGGCTGTAAATTTGGAGAAAGTAGATATGAACAGATACTACATTGTAATAGAGTTACTCTTATAAATCTTTGTTTGTGGAATGGATTGAGTCAATATGAAAATACATTGAAAAATGAAATACATAAGAATAAGAATTTCTCATGTCTGCAATCAGATTATTTAAAATTTAATTACAACATAACATTATTTAAAAAAAAAAAAATAATTCATCAAAATGTAGAATTTATCCAACTAATTAAAAGTTGAATTAAACTTCAAAAAATCAAACATTTTACATAACTAAAAGCATGTTGAAATATTATACCTACCAATTAATTCTTAAATCAAGAGAATTGAATTATTTATAGGATTAGATATTATAATAGTGTATAATTGTCAAAAAATTGCAAATATTTGATTTTTTTTATCCACTTAGGATATAATTATTACAAATCACAAATGTTTAGTTGTTTTTTTTTTAAAAAAAAAATTTATCAATAAGCATATCGACTAATAAGTTTAGTTCTTACCCCACAAGTTATTATATTCTATAACACTCCCCAGCGGACTAATTACCATATGGATGAGCGCTTATGTGCCTCATTAGAAACCTTGGTCTACTTTTAAATAGGAAACGCCCATATGGAGACCGAGTCATTAGTTTGGAAAATGTACAAATAGGCCATTGAACTATTTGGGGGATAGCAATTAAGCTACCGAACTCGAATAAGCTTTAAATTCATCCATAAACCTGGAAAAAAAGAACAATTAACATTTTTAGCAAGTTAACAACAGGTTTGCGCTGATTGAATTACCATGTGTATATTTTATTTTATATTTTATTATTTTTATCATCCTACTAAGCATTTTGACCCTCTTCCTAGATGTCATGTTTTCCTGATTTTATTTCCTGACTGTCACGTACTGTATTTAAAAATAATTTTTAAATTTTATTTTAATAATTTCAAATAATTTTTGAATTTTTTTTTTTAAAAAAAAAGCCTTGTTTGAGACAAATGGGTCCCCTTTCGTTTCCATGGCTGGCTGGCCAGAGTCAAAGTCGTGCCATGGAGACGGTCCCCTTCGTGTCCATGAAGGCCGCCCATGGAGATTTTTTAAAAAATTTAAATTTCAAAATAATTGTTTTATTTGAAGTTATTAAATAAAATAATTTTTTTGAACAAAAAAAATATTATATTATTTTTAAATATAGTACTGAAAAAATCAAGAAACATAGCATCCACAAAGATGATCAAATGCTCAGTAGGATAATAATAATAATAAAATATAAAAGGGAAAATGGCACTTTTTACCCCTGAGTTATATACTTATAGTACTTTTTCCCCCTCAATTATTTAGGTAAGCACATTAGCCCCCTCAATTATTCTAAAAGTGGTGCTTTCCCCCTCTGATATATTAAATTGACATTTATACCCTTAAAGTAAACATTTTATTTATTTTACTACTCCAACAAATTATATTGCGTATACGTAGGGATGACCACGGTTCGGTTTGAATTGAACCGGATACTAAAGCAATCGAATTAATAGTTTCCGATTATAATTCAGATCTAGAATCCAATATTTAAAATGTCAATTTATTAAAATTATGTATCAAAAAAATTGAATCTTGAACCGTGAACCGGCGCTTACGGATCCGATTCGCGATTTTGAACCGTCTTTATTTTAAAATTTTATTTTTTATTTTAAAATAGTCTAAATTCAACAATAAATGTATTTTATTTTTTCAGTTCGGAACATGAACCGTCCGTTCCGGTTCACGATTTTAATAAACTCTAAATATCGAATTTCGATTCTAAATTGTAATTGGAATATTTCGGTTTGGTTGCTATAGTGTTTGTTTGGTTTGAACCAAATTATGGTCATAATTTGTTGGAGAAAAAAAATAAAATAAATATTTAGTTTAAGGATAAATATGTCCATTTAACATTTCAGGGGGAAAAACAACCACTTCAATAATTTAGGGGGAAAATATGCTATAGGTATATAACTCAGGGGAAAAAGTGCCATTTTCCCAATATAAAATAAAATATACACATAGGCAACCCAATCAGCTCAAATCTGTTATTAACCTATTAAAAATGACACATTTTTTTTTTCTAGATTTATAGATGAATTTAGAACTTATTGAAATTAGATGACTTAATTGCTATCCCAAATTACATTTTCCCAATTTATTATTTAGATTTGACGTTAGGTAGGGTGATATACGAATGCATTTCCCCGCCCTAAATCTACATATACATATATGTATGGAGATATATTTAGATAGATACAGTCACGCATGAATGTATATGTTTAGAAATAGAGAGGATGAGGAAGAAGGGCGAAGGTGAAGAAGTAGAGGCTGGAGGAAAAGTAGTTTATGCTTCGCTATGGGTACTGTGTTTTGTGCTTTTGGCCTCCGCACTCGCGGTTATGTGTTTAAGAGATCCTGTTTTCCAAGGAAGCACCACCATTCTACATTCCACGGCCGTCGGAAATTTCACCGCCGCCGGGATTGCACCTTCTCTGCCGCCTCCCGCTGCTTCGCTCGGCAGCGGCCTTGGAAATTCCGACTCAGAGCTGCCGCCGCCGCAAAATATCAGCGTTACGGTGCAGTTGAATTCGACGGTGATCGGCGGCGGAGATGCAGGTTCTCCGCCCCCGTCTCCGGCTAGTTCTCCCAAGGTGATCGATTCAGTTCAGTAAAATACATCAATAATTCTATGAATTCTATTTTTTATTTTTTGGATATATAAAAATTTCACAATAATTGATGAACTTTAACGATCGACTACTCGATCTCTAGGTTTCGTTCAAGAGAAAGCACCAACTGGAGGAAGGATTGGCTCGGGCAAGAGCGGCGATTCTGAAAGCAGCTTCAAATCGGAACACGTCGGCGGATGCCATCTCCGGCGGGATCTACCGGAACGCCGGCGCTTTTTATCAGTGAGTATTTGTTTTTTTGGAAATCATTAATTTCCGTTCATATGTTATGGAATGAAATTAATTGAGTAATTAAAGGTAATAATTTTTCCGAGAAAGGAAACGTATCCAGCAAATTCTGACTGCTCACATTCCATATTTGCATGGTCTGCGTATCTGTGTTTTTGAATTATTATTATTATTATTATTATTATTATTATTATTATTATTATTATTATTATTATTATTATTATTGTTGTTGTTGTTGTTGTTGTTGTATATTTTTACTAGTAATTCACCCGCGCGATGCACGGAAAAAAATTATGTTATTATAAATATAAATACAAAATAAAAAAACTAAAATATTTTAAATTATTTAATATAATAATATTTTTGAGCTTCCATTGGTCAAGTATTTAGTATTTTTATAGAATACAAAATTACAATTAAAATTAAAATTAAAATTTTGTATGGTTAATATAATATCTAATTATGTGCATATTCAAATAAACGTATAGAGATAATTTACATAATTACATTGATTTATTCTTAATTGTATTTCATCTATATTATAATTTTCACAATACAAATAATAACTAAGATAATTACATTTGGAAAGCAAATTTCAAATTTTGTATGTGTAAATTTAAACTCTAATTAAACACTTTTTTTTTATGATTATATAATATATAACTATTTTATTTTTCAAAAGTATATTTTTTATATGATTATATAATATATAGCTATTTTATTTTTCAAATGTTGTGTTTTTTTTTTTTTTTTAATAATAAAGGATGTTGTGGCATTAATTATAACATTAATTATTTCCCAAACCATATAGCTTTATTATATAAAGGATTATCTTTGAAATATTTTACAATGCTGACTTATTATAGAGACTAGTTTTTTACGCGTATTGCGCGATTAGGATAATGCCCAATGTTTTTTTTTTTTTTTTTTTTTTTTTTTTAAATAAGTACTTTAAAGTATATCAAGACAAGATTATATTGGAATTGTTCATGCATAGATAATTGAATGTTGAATTTGCCTATTTAAATAGGTAATTCTAAGTTTACAAATGCAAGATAATATAGTCAAGATTGATTATAATTGTCAATAAAATAATTGTATAGGCATGGTTGAAACCAAATACGGGACATAAGGGAGAGCAAATAAAAATTAGGGCATAAAATATTAAATATATACTAATATTGAAGAGCTAACTGCTGATTGCCAAACAAGGATATTGCGGGTAGTTTCCCAATTCAATTTGTTGTGTGATATGAATACTCTTTTGTCATTAAATCCCCAAGTAGTTAATATGATTGGCTTAATTTTTTTTTTTTTTTTTTTCTAAAACTATTATTATTATTTTTGTTGTTGTTGTTGTTGATTATTTCTCTTAATTAATTTATTGATAATGAATATTTTTTTTTAATAAAGACATTGTAGGGACAATGTAGGGAATATAATCAATTGATGAATTTTTCTCTTATTTAATTTAAGTAAAATAGAGTACTAATTATGTCAACTTTGATTGGGATGAAGTTTGAACCTAAGACATTTCTTATTAAAATCAATCAGTAAGTTAACAGTGAACTAACAGGAATTAACGGAAAAGTTAATATTTAACGGAAAAAGTTAATGGATAATCATATTCATTAAGGATAAATTAGGAAATCTTAAGAAAAAAATAAAATCTGATCAATCTGAGCCATTCATTTGATTAAAAAACTTGACCGTCATTCTTTCTACCCATTATAGGCCTAACTCTCTTGGGCTCTTATTAGTATATATATATAGTAGATATTAATATATATATAAATACTCTGAGATTTGTATAAATAATTAACATTATTTTATTTATAAAAATGTCATCACACGATTTTATTTGTATAATAGCATATATGTTTTTATAAAATTTAATTTGTGTTAATAATATCTCTTCCAAATGGGAGGTTTGAGTTAATACTTAATAGTACTCTAAAAAAAATCTATTAGTGTCTTTATGGACATTATAGCATGTTTCTATTATTATTATTGAAAAAATATATGGTATTGTAGCCTTTGTAGGTAACAATACTATATCATGTCATTCATAAAATTGTACTATGTATTTAGTAGCATAAAATAAGGTAAAATAGAAAATGTTTAATTTTACCAATTCTAAATTACATTTACGACATCATCATCTTGTTCTCGATTTGATGAATACCACATTTGACTTGGGTAATACCTAGGAGCAGGATGTGGCTCTGCATCAAATAATAATTTGATTGATAGGTTTTTAACAATAATATTTAAACACTATATTTAAATTTGAATTTCACCTCTTTTATTGTCACTGTGAGAGTGCAAACTCTTCTAAACAATCTATATATTTGTGAACTAAAGTAATTTTTGTCAGTTTGAAAAAGAGGAGTGTTCCCTTTAGAGGGCTAACAGTCCACATGGTTTACTGTACATGATAAAACATTGATTTGCTGTTCTAGGGATTTACTTAATTTATATGTATCACTAGTACTGAATTATACTACTTCTCCAATTGAATGATTTTTTTTTAAAAAAAGTTTTTTTTTTTTTTGGTATTACTGAGAAGATGATTTCATCCTATCATTTGTCTGTAACAATTTATAAAAGTAAAATAATACCGATTCAATATTTCAAGGTCAAATCTCCCAACCATACATTAAAAGTAACAATTTGCAGACTAACTATATATTCTAACCTGCTAGGTTATAACAATTACTATTTCGTTTTCAATTGTTGTGATACATTTTTGTTTACAGGGAGGGTTTATATTTTTATATATAAAAATTGCAATTTTCCAAAATATTTTTTTACCAAATTATGTCTTGAATTTATTAAAAATGTTTCATTTGTATTCATTTCAAACTCAACTATGATACAAATATGGTAGATAACATAGACACGGAGACATTGAGAAATGACAATTTGAAAACAAATTCAGTTAGAAAATGAAGTTTCTCAATTAAACCTCTGAAACACAATCTAGATAAACTTCTAAAATACATTTATCTTTTTTTAGAAGAAGGGTTTTGAAAATGCTATTCAGTATTCACCCATACAAATGTTTATATTATTATATCTAATGTTGTTTTTCATGATTGCCTGAAATTTATTTGTAAAGGAGTTATGAAGAGATGGAGAGAAGGTTGAAGGTGTACGTATACGAAGAAGGCGAGACGCCCTTAGTCCACGACGGGCCATGCAAGAGCATATATTCTAGCGAGGGAAGATTCATCGTCGAGATGGAGAGCGGCACCACCCATTTCAGGACTCCAAACCCTAACTTGGCTCACCTTTACTTCATGCCTTTTAGCGTTGTTTCGTTGGTGAGATACCTCTACAAGCCCGACACCTACGATGTCACTCCTCTCAGACAGTTTGTTTCGGACTATGTCACTGTCATTTCCACCAAACATCCTTTCTGGAATCGAACTTCCGGCGCTGATCACTTCATGCTTTCTTGCCATGATTGGGTACGTAGTACGTCTTTTATTTGAGTTTTCATGCCTGCAATTTTTTGTTGGGTGACGAGTAAACCTGCCGTCACTACCCAATTTGTTAGGTTGTCTATAGTTGTCTAGCTCAAACCAATGCAAATAGGTATGAAATTTGAACTTGTAATCTTGTAGTTACAAGTCAACAACCTGACCACAACGAGACCAACAACCTGATGGGTAAAAGATTACAAGGGAATAAATCGGCTTAGGTTGCTTATGGATAGAGCTATCAAAATGTACTTTTCCCATCCATCGACTCTACCCGCCCCGTCCAACCGTAAGTAGGGGCATATTCATCAAATGTTCCACCTGCCAAGATGCGGGCTTTTTGCTCTAAATAAACTTTGAACATGAACGTTGTAGGGCACTCTTTTAGCTTTCTGTAGCCACTTGAATCATATTGATTGGACTTTATATGAAGGACATATTATCAAAACACTATCAACATGTTGCAGGAAAAATCCCTCAGGGCGAATCCGAATGTTCTGATTTTCTAGTGCCAATGCATTCGAAATATCTCAACTGTTCAACATTTAAGATTTAAAGTAGTAGAGGACTACCTTATCTTTCCTTTGACACTTGAATCATCTTATTTGGACTCCGTACGAGGGAGATATGGCCAAAATCATCTAGCATGTCGTAAAAAAATAAATGTTTAGCAAGCCGACTCGTGCCCACTTGCAGCCTTTGGCATGGCGAGGCGGGCCGATCACCTTCTAAACTTGCAAATAGGTGGCATTTTTAGCCTGCCCTGCCGCGAGGGTGGGCTTTGCCAAGCTTTGGTCCGTCCCGTCTTGCGGGACCGTTTTGATGGCTTTACTCATAGCTAACATGCTCGAACCAATAAGTCCAGTAGGTCGCCCCATTGAGAGTTCAACTTGTAACTTTGAGTTTACAAGTCATCCGTTTGGGCAACTTAGCTGGATTGTCTTTGTTGTTCGTTTTACAACTAATTAACAGGTAGTCAGTGGAGGGCCAACACCACCCTTAAAATAACAAATACGTGAAAGAATTGAGAGAAGAACTATTTTATTAAGGGAGATGAATTCAATTCATTTTACACTTGGAAGAAAATATTTATGCAAAAGGACTTGATCACATTGCACCATATAAAAATAGACCAATAGGCCGACCAATTCGTGAGAACGAAGACTGACCGACCGACCAGGTGGTAAGAACAAAGCCGTCCAATCGGAGCCCTAGTCCACCATCCATCACCTCCAATTTTTGCTGTTGAGTTATGTTAGTTGCTGTAATTGTTGCAGGGTCCCATGGCTTCTGAAGGCAATGCATATCTCTACAACACATCAATCAGGGTTTTATGCAACGCAAACTCCTCAGAAGGATTCAATCCACAGAAAGACGTGAGCCTACCGGAGATCAACCTCTACGGAGGCGAAATCTCGCCGGAGATCCAAACACCCCCACCGCCCAACGCCTCAAGACCCTACCTCGGATTCTTCGCCGGCGGCGTCCACGGCCCCGTCCGCCCCATCCTCCTCCACCACTGGAAGGACAAAGACCCAGACTTACGCGTGCACGAGTACTTACCAGAGGGCCAAGATTACTACTCCTTCATGTTGCAGTCCAAGTTTTGCCTGTGCCCCAGTGGCTATGAAGTGGCCAGCCCGAGAATCCCGGAGGCCATTTACTCCGAATGCGTGCCGGTGATTCTGTCGGAAAATTACGTGTTGCCGTTCAGCGATGTCCTGAACTGGGATGCGTTTTCGATTCAGGTTAAGGTTTCGGAGATTCCGAGGTTGAAGGAGATCTTGTCGGCTGTCCCGGACGACAAGTACGTGAAGCTTAAGGAGGGTTTGAGGGCTGTCAGAAAGCATTTTGTGTTCAACCAGCCCGCACAGAGGTTTGATGTTTTCCATATGATTTTGCACTCGGTTTGGCTAAGGAGATTAAATCTTAGCTTTGGGTGATTATTATATTGTGGGGACTTAATTAATTAGTTGTTACTCATTAAATCAGCACATCATTATAAGAATTAGAGCCGGGGAAAAATATATATTGATACATGCAGTCAATATAGGATCTTTAGGTAATCCATAGATTTTCACATATACTTACAATTGCTAAAATCTAGTGTATTCCTTTGTTGCTTTCTGTATATCTATTGGGGATACTCAATTTGAAGCATTGGAAATACATGCAATTGAATACATTTATGAATTGAAGAAAATGTTGAATCCCCAACCCCTAGGGTCTGACAGAGCATCGTTAGACCTTTGTTTATTGTGTACAAGGAGTCACTTTCATTGATATAAGTTGCTCCCACATTCATGCTTATTGTACACAAGGAGTCACAATATTTAATCATAAGAAGGATAAAATGATAATTTATCATAAAATTATAATTCCACAAAGTGTACGAATTGCAATTCCATAGTTATAATTCCGTGAAGTTGCAATTCCATCCAACTAAACAATGGAATTGCAATTTCATCCTACCAAACACTCATTAGGGTATCAATATTTCCGAAATACTTCCAAAAATAGATTCTAGTATCCTAACATCATAATTGTAATTTGTTATTAATATTTTCTTTACAACCCTGTAATTTCAATTTTCTTTCAAAATATAATAATAATAATAATAATAATAATAATAATATAGTATTAAAAATAACATTTAACTTTATCATAAAATAGAAATAGACTTTACGAGGAGATGGTGCCAAATAGAGTAGTTGGCCCAACACGGGTTGACAAAAACGTACACCCACCACGGCGCACATAGTACTGTGCGTCGCGCGCCTCCCAAAACGACGTCGTTTTGGGGTAGTGTTGGGAGGCGCGGTAGGAAGTTGCTGAGATTATGTGTATTTGTTCACAACGTTATGTGTATTTATTCACAACGTTATGTGTATTGGTACATACAGTTATGTGTATTTTTTATACAATTATGTACATTCTTTTTATACAATTATGTACATCCGAATCAAAAAATTTGTGTGTATTATGTTAAGAGTTGATGTGTATTATGTTAAAAGTTTATGTTTATTATGTATTATGTTAGATTATGTGTATTATCTTTTAAAAAGAGTATGTATATTTTGTTATATAATTATGTACATTCATGTATAACATTATGTGTATTCTAGTATAACATTATGTACATTCTTGAACAGCGGGTTTTTTTTTAAAGAAAGACTACTGCCATTCACTGGGACGGGAAATTTCAAAAAAAAAAAAATAATTAAAACGACGTCGTTTTGCATCTGGGCGCATAGTGCAACGCGCGCCGTGGTGTAGGATATAAATTGCCAAAAACGTACGGGTCGAACCTGACCGACCCATTTTTATATGCGTTGAGCCGTTGAGAAATTTGAATCAAATCCGTATGGGAGCGTTATGCCATGAAACCGTGTTCACCATTCATGGTGAACACGATTCTAACGGTGTTAGTACACCGTTATCTTTTTTTTTTTTTTTTCTTAATTAATTGCGTGACTTTTTTTTTTTTTTCATTTTTATATTTTGCGGTTTCACTTTAATTTGAGATGAACAATGATTTCGGACATTCATAAATTATGAATCCATGCCTGCACATTCACTTTGGAACCATGCCTACACATTCACTTTGGAACCATGAGATTATGAATTTTCTGTTATAAGATTATGAATTTTCTGTTATGAGATTATGAATTTTCTGTTATGAGATTATGAATTTTCTGTTATGCGATTATGAATTTTCTGTTATGAGATTATGAATTTTATGAAAATTCATAATCTCATAACAGAAAATTCATAATTTGATCAACGCGCGCCGTTAACTCCACATCCGCAATTTTTTTATTTTTTATTTTTGCCTAAAAACGACGTCGTTTAGCCTTGTGTTCACCATTCTCGGTGAACACGTTTCCAGGACATAATTTGCCATCCGTATGCTATTGGGCTGGCATGTTAAACGGGCCAGCTCTCCAACCTGCACATTATTTTTTAAATACATAAATAAAATTGATCTCGTGCTCTTGATGAGAACTGAAAGTTATTAGGACTCAATGGCGGATTTAGTATGGGAGCAACTGCCCCGCTCACCCTACCCTCATCCCATATATATATATATATATATATATATATATATATATATATATATATATATATATATATATATATATATATATATATATATATATATATATATATATATATATATATATATATATATAGTACATGTTTTAGTATAGGTATAAGAAAACAGATAATTATTAACAAGGGTTGAGTTAGGTTAGTTGGCAAAGTATGCATTTCACCTTTTGAAAGGTCTGTTGTTTTAGTGTTTCGTCCTCACTGAGAAATTTTTTTGGATCCACCACTGTTAGGACTCCATGCATAATTGTGTTAGACTAGTACTCTATTCCTCTCTTGTATTTATACTTTGTAGAGTTGGTATCAGTAGTCTCATGTTTCTATATGGCAACTCGATCCGTCTACGAATCTACAAGACAGGAGTCTCCTCTGAACGGACGGTTTTCGAGACTGTTGCTTCTGTTCGTGCGGTGGCTAACAATTCATTATCTACTGCTCGTCACTTTGTTTCAATCAAACTTATTGCCCGAAATTATCTGTTAAGGCAAACTTATAGTTAATTCCTTTCTTGCGTGGACAGAATCTGTTAGGGATTGTTGATGGGTCTATACCCTGTCCAACCGTGGTGGTGCTGACTGGGGATGATGTAGCGACTTCCGGCCTGGTGCTTCTGCCGGCCGCAGTCTCCCGTGACTCATGGATCCAACAGGATCAAGCTAGCCTACCTTAGGTGTGTCTACATTATATTGGTGGCAATAATAACAGGTGTTGATGAGCTAACAACCTCATCATAGTCTCTTCTTGCCTTTTTTTGGCTTGTGGCATTTAAAGAGATAACAAAGATTAGGGGACAAAGTTCATTATTATAAAAAAAGTTTGTGAGGGGAAGGTGCAAAAGCTTGGAAGGGGTGTGGAAAGGTAGGCTAGCCAACTATGTTAGGCAATGCTAGCCACCTATGCAGCTGTGTGAGATTAGACTATGTCATGCCAGTGCCAACATTATCCAGCCTACCTTCATGACACATATTCATTATACCGTGGACCATGATATATACAATTATGTAGAGCACTGGAATATGCATAGGATACATTATTTCTATGTATATGGTATATTATTTTTATATATAATGTTCATTATTTGAATGCGTACAAAATACTATGATGAAAATAATATGAGAGTTCATTATTTATATGCATAATGTTCGTTAACTATTTGTGTGTATATGATTCATTATTTGACTATGGACAAACTGATTAACGATTGATTTTTTAGGCATGTATATTCTAGGTTCATTTCTTATGTACATGGGGTTTATTATATTATTTGTAGAGTATAATTGGACTTATTCAGCACACCGACCAGACCACCCCTTTACTTAGAAATTTGATATTCAGTAAATCAAGAATTACTATTTATATGCATAAAGTTTACTATTTGTGTAAATGTATTTTGATGTATGGTCTACACAATTGTGTGAACCATTGTCTATAGTAAAATTTACCCTTTGGCACATCAGTGGGCCTAGCGTGTCGGGAGTGGTCGAGGACAATTGTTATACCATGGACCAAACATGCCATTAATGTTTTCTTCTTCTCTCTTGAGGCAAACTACCAAGGTTGACTAGCCTAGCAGCGGCAAATTATACCATGAATCAACGTTTATCTTGTATTGTGAACTCTCGCCCAAAATTACTTTCAGATTATGTGCTTGCAGTTGAAATATTATGTACCTGCACTTAATCATATTAATTATGTACCTGTGAATAAATTGAAGACATATAACATATTAACTACAACACATAAAATGTTATTACAGACATATAAACTGTTAATTGTAGATACAAAATATGTCAACTGCAAACACATAATATATTAGTTACCATTTTATATGTCTGTAGTTAACGTTTTATGTACTTTCAATTTATTTACAGTCATATAAAAGTTAACTGCATGTATACAATATATCAACTATAAATATACAATTTTTTGATCAGAGTCTACAATGCAAGATGAATCATAATCCGTGGTATAACAACTGCCTAGTAGCAGTTTTGGCTTGTATTCTTGGGCTTATTCATTGTATTATTTAATTGTATCCTAAGAGGGTTCTTTTGTGGGCCAACGACATAATAATTACAGTATTATTTTTATGGAAAAAATTACATGTACTTTCATTTTTTTTTTTGAGAAACATGTACTTTCATATTTTACTTTCAATTTTTATTCTCACACACAAAATTTTGATGTAGACATTTGTATTGGGACCCATATAAAAAAATAGTCTATCAATAATGTTTGCCACATCAGGGAGTAAAATTTAAGAAGTATGATTTGAGAGTCTATGTAGTAGAACTCTATTCTTATCTTTCATTTGTTGTCAATTTTACCTCTAATTATCCATGTTTACGATAAGCCTAGTCCAATAAAACTATCAATATGATTAAAAGAAACGGTTCCTGTTCAGTCATTTCATGGTCAAATATTTTACTTTAATAGTCCAAAACAATGTCGTTTCGTTTAATAAAAAGAAACGGTACATGTTCAGTCATTTCGTCCAACTAATTTTTTTTAATGGCGTATTCAGTTTTGTTTCATATACACTATAGTTTCATTACAGTACAACTAAAGTATCATTTTGATTTAACTACAGTTTCATTTGACCTTATACACTCAATGTGTGAGACCTATTATTGAATTTCATTTCATACAAACTATAGTTTTATTAAAACACCACTAAAGTATAATTCTAATTTAACTACGATTTAATTGGACAATATACATTCAAATATGTGAAACCTGCTATTCAGTTTCATTTTATATACACTGTAGTTTCATTACAACATAACTAAAATATTACTTTGATATAACTACAATTTCATTTGACAATATA